TCATATTTCAATTTTTGCTGTTATCCTCACTTTTTTACCAGAGCTCATATTGCAATTTTCGATGTTATTATTTCTTTTCTCTGACACTCCTTATTACTGGTTCCCATATTGTATTCATTTCTATGGTTGGTCGGCTCGGGAGATTTTTGTGCTGATTCCTTAAGTTTACGAATTTTCCAATGATGTTCTTTGTCTATGATTTCAACCTGATCACACAGAGGGCGGTGATCTCCCTTCTCTCTCCATATGTGGTCAGCCACGCCTGATTTTTCCACTCGTGTTACAGCTTTTTGGTGTTCCTGGAGCCTTACCTTAAGGGGGCAGCCTGTCTCCCCTTTATATTTCTTTCTGCAGCTGCACGGGATGGCGTACACACAGTCATTAGTCATGATCTCCTCTAAGTTTATAAGTCCCAGAAATTCATACACAGATGACCTTAAGAACACATGGCACAGTGGATAAAGGCGTTGGTTAGATCCAATGACAGGACCCAAAGAGTGAGTTCAATACCTGGTTAAGGCAGTGGAGAACTTGGAGATGTGAGATAACTGACATCCATGGCACGTGGAACTAGAACAGTCTACCCCTGCGAGCGAAATAAAGGGTTCAGTTCGACATTCCGACTACCTGAAGAAGGCCGGAGCGTACAACAACCGAAACGTTGTGATAAATATGGCGACATAGATGGGGACAATAGTCTGAATAATGTAAATATTGTACATAATACCTCATCTCAGAAATATAGATAGATACTTTTCATGTTACTCGATGACTTCATATGATTCAGAGTAGTTTTGGAATAAGGTTTCTTTATCATACCATTACGAAAAAAACGTATTCACAGGTCTGTGTGTCTTTTGGCATGTTTGTTTGTTACAACGTCTTGTTGGTGTGAATGGTAACTTGTTCATTCTATCTTGAAGCTTGAACACAACTTGTTGTGATGTGTGATCGGCCTCGACGTATTGGCCAGGTCTATTTTTTAATTACGTTTCTTATAGCAGCGTGAGTAGTAAATTATCAAACCTGTTGTATGATTCGACTTTAGCTGCAAGAGACGTTTTTAATTGTCTGTGAAAACGAGATACCATTGGCGCATGGCTGATATGCAGTAGTTTTGATGTGTTTAACACCCAACAAGTTCGCAAATTCTCGGAACAACACAGCTTGAAACTGTGCTCCTTTGTCAGTTGTAATGACTAAAGGTACGCCATATGTTGTGATCAGACTTAGCAATTGATTCCGTTTAATTTTCCACTTCATGTCAGCAGAAGATTTTAGCCCAAGAAGGTGCAATAATTTACTCTAGTGGCGGTCAGCATCGGCTATGCTGATGAAAGGCTAAAAAGGTTCTTTAAGATGATTAGGGCAGTTTCGTTTGGAGGTGTTAAAATTAACAGTTAGTACAAGACAGGTAGTTTTGGAGAAGACCGATATAACTGCCTCTGCAAGACCATTGTTGCGGCGCTAAGCAGGTTGCGTGTTAACCCCGCAAGCAGAAAAATAATATAGGGTAATACGATCGAAGCAAGGACAACAAAGACGAGGATGTAAAAGTTTAAGCCAAATTTTATTAAATAATCTGGCACAAATATATACAGATAATCGTTTGTGGTAGTTCGGTCGTGTAGTTTTGAAGGAGCGTTGTCAGGTTTCAAGGCGACAGCTTGAAGGTAGGCCGATGGAACAGCGGTGTTCGAGGTCCAGTCGATCCCTGGATGTCTGTACTTGTGTAAAGAGCACGTCGGCGCTTGAGGAGAGAGAGGATCGACGCGGACGGCGCTGGTGTAATCAGTTCGTCCTTGGTATGACTCTCGTGCAAGATCGCAGCTTAGTAGTTGTAATAAAAGAACATTCGTAATAACGCGGCTAGGTTAGTCCTGAAAAACGACTAGTGCATATCATGTAACCGAGGGTAGACTAGTGCATATCATGTGGCCGAGTGTAAGTTAGTGCATATCATGTAACCGTGTGTAGGCTTGGTGAAGCTGGGTCGGCCTGCTGCTGGTGAAGCTGGGTCGGCCTGCTGCTGCTGGTGAAGCTGGGTCGGCCTGCCACTGCTGCTGCTGGTGAAACTGGGTCGGCCTGCTGCTGGTGAAGCTGGGTCGGCCTGCTGCTGATGATGATGAAGCTGGGTTGCCCTGACTGCTGCTGGCTCTGGCTGCTTCGTGTGGTCAGCGAAGGTGAGAGGGGGAGCTCGTCGCTCAACCCCGAGGCCAAAAATCCGCCGGGAGAATGGTATTTACTTGACTCCCACGGGGTCAGGATGTGACACAAGGTCGTTTAACGTGGGAGACCCGAGCCTTTCCACTCAAGGGCCACTGGTCCCAAACTGGTCATAGCTTGTCCAAGCTGGTCAGAGCCTAGTCAAAGCTGGTCATGACTTGTCCTAGCAAGTCCAGGCCGGAGCCAGTCCAAGCTAGTCGAAGCCTTGATCGAATCTCAGCCATAGGCCAAGAAACGATCCAATATTTGTCAAAAACCCCAACGATTACATTTCAAACCAGTCACAACACATTACAATGCATCTAAACATATAGTTCTGTTGATAATATTTCTTTCTCTCACGTGGTCATGTACGATGTCATAGAACCGCATTACGAATTTACGACCTGAGAGGGCTATTCCGCGACAGTTATCGTCGCATAGCAAATTTCTATGTAAACACACACACACACACACACACACACACATATATATATATATATATATATATATATATATATATATATATATATATATATATATACATGCTCGGTATACCAGATATATGTAGATGGCCTTGATAGTATGGAGCCGTTGAAAGCAGATAATTACCAAAACATCCTATTTTAATTGTGTTTGCCCCTCCCTTTGTTAGCTCACACGACCGCTACGCCCTGACAATACCTCATAAATAATGAACTATTCAGTTTCGATCGCATGGAAAGAGGGGGAAAGACACTACTTGGTTTCAGTGAGAAAATGAATGAAAAAAAAAGAAAGGAGGTAAGATAGAAGGGGAGAGAGAGAAAAACAGATTAAACTGATAAAAACAGATAATACACGTTGACCTTAGCCTAAAAACCGAGAAGTGATTCTATTTTCTTGCCATCCCACGCTGGCAAAATGTGACACAAGGTCAGTTTAAATGTGTTGGGGGGGAGCGAGCGCATGTACCTGGGCTAGGTCCCAAAATCGACGCCCCCCACCCCCGTAAGCGTCGGTTGCGTTCGCATCGGCATTATTACTACACCCTCTTTAATGAGTGGGGTAATGCCCGGTGTGTATGTGTGTGTGTGGGGGGGGAACTGTTTTCCGAGACCGGGCACATCTTAATATTTTCAGTTGCGCTCTGTCCGAAGACAGAGACACAACTGAGAGATGAAATGTTGTTTATTCGCCCGAGGGCATATACTACACATTGATCTCCCAAAAGACCGAGAAACGATTGTATTTTCTAAGCACCCCACGCTAGCAGTTCAGTTTAATCTGGGGAGCCCGATACGTGCACCCGTGTCAGATCTAAAAAATAGTCCGAGAATTAATGGCAACTGCGATAAAATCGCCATTTTTCAGACGCACTGTATAGTATTGAACGACTGAAATGAAGTAAGGCAAACGTTAAAATTCCAGTTACCATAAATAAAATAACATTGTTTGCTGAATTATTTTAAATTATTATTAAGAGAAATGTTCGTAAGAAGCGGATTTGGCTAGTTCATAATAAAATAAATAAAATAAAACTGTGGACAAGTCGAAAGAATGTAAATGATGATTTATTTTTAATGGGAATATGCTAAGAAGAACATGTAGAAAGATGTTGGATGCTTTCTCTCCGACCTTGAAAAGGAATGCTAATGATGTCGTCACAAAAGCTGTCATTGCTTACAAGTCCGACACGTCATGCGAAAGAAGCTGTGTTACCAACGCGTCATGGATACGTATTCTCTTAGCGGCGTCTACCTGAAAACTGTCCTCTCTTTCGAGAAGGTGCTCCAGTGATTGGTTGTTGAAGATCACATGACCGGTCAAGCGTGGCGCATACTAATTAGAAAAAGAGAATGACATAGATAGATAGATAGATAGATAGATAGATAGATAGATAGATAGATATGAACAGAATGAGATAGATAGATAGATAGATAGATATATATAGATAGATAGATAGATAGATAGATAGATAGATAGATAGATAGATAGCAATTTCATAAGTAATGGATTTTTTTATTTATCAATCCAACAGGTTTTATCACTTGAATGATATTTTGAGTGGATACCCATATTTGAGTAGACGCTCCGTTTATCTACTTAAAGTAAACAGTCATTTATTTATTCAGGCCGGTAGACGAAAATAAATAAATATACTGCTTAAATAGATGTCCCATCTACTGAAATATGGCTATCCACCTAAAGCTACCGTTTAAGTGATAGATAGATAGATAGATAGATAGATAGATAGATAGATAGATAGATAGATAGATAGATAGATAGATAATGTTGACACTCAGAGAACATTGAAGGAAAGTGGGACAGAGGAATACAACGCATAACCTACCCAACGACCTTGTGATTAATGACAGAGCAGGGTTTAACTTTCGGAGACATAACAAAAAGACAAAATTTACTAAGAGCTACAAAGGACAGGAAATTGTAGAGGGCCATAATCAGCAAAGTTCTGAAGGGACACTGCACATAGAAGCGGTGCAGCTTTATTTCATCATAACCGGATGTAAAAGTGAACGACATCTCTTTGGTCGTGTCTATAGAAAATGTGCAAACGTATGTGTAAACATTTCTGATCTTACAAATTTTTGTCAAAATGTTCCAAGCACCTGCTTTCTCAAAATGATAATTTATCTTATATTTGGTTATTTTTAGCAGTTATGTAACTGTGGTTTAGTAGTGAGAAAATGTCACACTATGAAGCTCTATATACTCCGTGAATGTTATTGCTTGATACACAATAAATATTTAAAAATAGCTTTTAATTTTAAACAAGTGTTGTTGAGGCAGTTAAAATGGGACAGACAAAAAACCAAAACATCCAGGTCTCTCAATGTGAGGTTTAATGAGCCAATCTGGTTGAGTATTGTGCAGTAAATGCGATCCTCATCAAGCTTCACATGCTTTTTAGCCTTGTGCCAAACTAATTTAATTTAAGCTTACTTACAGTAACATGCACAACTTAAGCAAAGCCCGCTCAGCGTATTGATTGATTCTGTTTCACTTTAATTATTTTTCTGTATATATCGTAATTTATATTGAAATGTTTTAGAATAGTTCAGATATAATTAAAACAGAATTATCTTTTTAGAAACTAAAAATGCCTTTAAAAACTGCAATCAAATAGAAATTACTGTTTCTCTTGACAACTAAATAAATTCTTTTTTTTTTAAAGTGACTGAAATTGTTATTCTTTTATTCTGGAATAAGAGAACGTAATTTCTGAACAGACGTCACCGTTTTGAACACAGTTGCATTATGGGAAGGAAATGATCGACACGATCACCATGGCGTCGCTCGACAACAAGTAGAAGCAGAAACCACTCGAAGATTGATTGTAAATGTAAGAAAATTACTTTCATTCATACTTTTTTTAAGTAATTATTTTTCTTATTTGAAACCTACCATTGATAGTATACCCGCTTTTGACTATTCAAATGTTATTTCTTATTTAAATTATTCCCTAAAACGAACGGGATTCCAGCAAGTGGAAAAAACAGCATGTCTTTCTTTCTCAGTTTTTTTTTATTTATTAAATTAATTTTAGTCATTCAAATCCTTCAACAATTAAATAATATTTTTATTTTGTGGTTCAGTTATCATTGTTAATTTTATTTTTATTTATATTTTTCACGTGTTGCTTTTGAAATGACTACGAAATTTTTGCAATTTGAATTGAAATTTTGTCTCTTTTTAAATTTTTACTCGTGTTTGTTACTGATTTGATTTTTGGTTCATATTTAAACATTTTTAAAATAGTTTTTTTTTTTATATTTATTTTGGGGTTAAAATGATTAATAAAAATACGCAAAATTTATTTTGTTTTTGATTTTCTTTAGCTTTTTGGTCGTGTACTATGAAAACAATACCAAGATGTATAGTTTCTCTCGTCTTTTTAAAATGTATTTAAAAAATCACAAAATCTAAAACTTAATTTCCCTAAAAATAAATCCCACCAAAAAAATAAGATGCAGAATTTTTAAACGGATTTAATGTTTTTAATCCGGTTATATTTGATTTTAATTTGAATAAAGATCGGTGGTCGAATTTAGTAGGGTTTTTTCGTCACTTGTCATTTCAATTTTACTTTTCATTTTACGAGTTTCACTTTTTGAGTTTAATTTAGATTTCCTTTTATAAAATCAGTTTTTGTTTATGAAATTGAAATATAACCTTTTTATCCTTGGATTTGTTTTGATTTTTAAATTCATTTGTTGTTGTTTTACTACAAAACAATAATGAAATGTTTGTCTGTCTTGTCATCTTTTTTCTAACTTATTTCCGTTTTTGCATCTTGCTTGATTGTTTTTTAGTTTTTCTGATTAATTTATTGATCAAATTTTTGTTTCTTTAGTTTTTTTGTTTTTTTTACTCTCTAGTCTCTTTTTTTATTTTAATTCTGATTCTCTTAAAAACTTGCAAATCTCACATTATTCATTCTATTCTCTTTAATTTATTTCATCATTTATCGTTTCTTTTTAAGTAGCAATCACTCAAACCCAGAATTTAATTTTTCTGTATTAATTTGCACTTGCTTAAAAAAAGACACCTTGTCCTTTTTAAAAACTAAAAAAAGTTGTATTGTGACATAAACCTTTCTCATTCTGTTTGTTTTTTTAAATGCCAACAAAAACGAAGTCCTTCTCATGATCATAATAAATTTTTATCAATTTGTTTTACGTATATTCGAAATCGTTGTCTTTCTTTTACACATAATCAACCACAGCAAAAGTTTGATTCTCTCGTTTCTGTTTATTTAAAAGACTGAACAAGATAATTTTGTCTTGTGGTTAATTACGCGATGTTGCCAACTTCTTGTCATCATCATAAACAAATGATTTCTTGACTGGTGCTACTAAAAAAAAAAAAAAAAGAAGCTCGACTCTCATTCGGATGATGCCTTTGTAAAAACTACAATTTTCATCTCATGTGACATGGAACAGGAAACTCTCTTCTTAGTCTTCTTATTGTTTTTTTTTCTCTCTGTTTTGTTTTCGTTTTTTTTTTTTAACCAATAGTTAACAACTTAACAAAACCCTAAGTAAATAAAGTTAGTTATTTTTGTTGATTCACAATATCTGTTGAATTTTTACTTTTATTTATTTATTTGTTCAAGTTATTAAATTTATTAAATTTCCAGCTATTTCTTCCCTCGGCAAAGTTAAAAATATAAATCTTCTTTTTTTTTTTTTTCTTTTCGTACTTGTTCGGATTCAACGCTACGTACTTCTTCCGCAATCTTCAGACGTGGCGCCGTTTCGAGACGACGAAAAACTTAACCAAATCACTCGTCAGTTTAACGAGGGAAATTGTTGCTTTTAAAAACACACTAAAGCAAAAATAGTGGTTATTCGTATTTAATTAATTAGTTTTTGTTTTTTTATGCAATTTATTTACAAAAGATTTATTGAGTTATATAGCCTCATTAGAAATTTTAATTAATTTGTCATACATAATCACAAACTTTTAGTTTTATGTGATGAATTTTTAAAATGTTATTTACATTTTTTTTTACAAAGGTTTCGTATGTAAGATGATTATCAGTGGATGTATTTTATCATAAACACTAAGCAAAACAGTCTTCTTATCTCTTATGATTTGAAATAGACGTATAAGTAAGTTGATATCGCTACACGCAGTTTCTGTAGAAAAAGAAGTACAAGCGTATTATTAACGTAAAGATTCTGCCATATAGTTTTTGGTGAGGCTTAAGATCTCTAGCCGCTTCGCTTTCATCGGTGGTGACGTTGTCACTTGGCAGAGATTTGTGGAGACTACCTGATATTTTTGTGTTGACTGACAGCAAAGACTGTTGTCTCTTTTCAGATCTAAAGGCAAATTATTTTTTTTTAATTTAATCAAACCAACAGCAATTGGTGGTAAATGTTCGTTTTTATACCATGTACTCTGTTTCCTACTTTATCGGCAAGTCATATAGATTTTTACTTTCCATAGTTTTTTTTTTTTTTTTTGTAGAACTGTTTTGATATAAATATAGATTCTATATTTATGTGGCGTTTTGACATGCCTCAGGAATTTTTATGTTAATTTTTAATATTTCTACAAATTATTTTTTCAATTTGTTCTAAGCATGACTCTCTATCGACCAGTGTATTACTGTTGCTGTTGTTACTACTAAAGAAAAAGGGATGATGATATTTTTATTTTGATTATTATTGTTGTTATTCTCTAACCTAAGAAAAAGGTAGCATGGCATGACTGATATTTTATAATTGGGTCAACTCTGTCACGGTACATAAATTTTGAGAAAGAAAATATCAAGAAATCTCTTCTTTTTACTTATATTGTCAGTTGTTGTGAAAGAATGCTTTGTTCACATAACATCTCACACATCCAATGGCCTATTTCCTTATTGTTTTTAAGTTTAAAAAAAAAAAAAAACTGATAGTCTTGGTTTGTAATATTTGATTTTTAGCTTTTCTTATCTAAAATTAAATGACATATTTTTGCTGGTTGGTAATGATTTTACATTAAATAACTAACTGTACAAGTATTTGTCACTACAAAACAGTTACAACCAGATTGTTTCAGATTATCTACATTGTAAATATAAACAGATCTCATTCACATTCGTTTTTTTTTTCTCTCATTTTTAAGTATTCTTATTTATTTTTTTATTTTCTATTTAATGATGATAATGAAATGATCTAAAAATAAATCTCCTAAATATTTGTGTTGATTTCTGATGTTTACTTAATTTGCATATATAAAACTAATTTTTAAAGCTAATTCAATTATAGATGAGTTGGTTTAATTTTTAAATCTAAAAAAATAAAAACTGAAAAAAATTTTCAGAGAGTAATTTTTGTAGGTTATCATTTATAGGAATTTCCTAAACTCACAACTTTTGTCAGAATCAGAATATTGATATCATATTTTAATGGCTTTTGCCAGTGATCCAGCATAGAAAACATCCATGATACTATGGACACTAATGCACAATTGTTGAAACATATTTAATACACATTTCTCAATAACACTAGTCTAAAAAAAACATATATATATAAATTTTAAAAAATTCCAGAATTTTTACACTTAAAAATTCTACTATCCAAACAAGCAAATACATCCATCTAATCTTCTACACTACTTTTGCAGAATTCAGAGATGAAATGAGGGGCCCCGGGTTTGTCCTGATCCCCGACAGACATGCCAAAATATGCCTTGTAGGCCTCTCACATTTTAGCAGATGTTGCCGCAGAGTACTTTTTTTGCTCTTATTTTGATGAATTTACCACAGACCTAGGAAAATGTGTCTGCCAGCTGCATAAACCTCTTGATACCATCTGTGACGAATGCATCTATCATTGACGACTTGTTTGCACTTGGACGGCTAGAAGTGAACTGAACTTTTGAGCTTACATTCCCTGTATTTATACTGCCATCTATGTTGCCAGAATGTTTGAGAAATTCTTGAAACTTTTAGAAACTCTTCAGAAGTTCTAGAAAATTGTCTGCAAGGTAATGGAAAATAGGCTAGTTTCAAAGCAACACTGTCCAAATCACAAAAGTAAAGTTTGGAGAGAATAATGGTCATTTTCTTTCTTTTGCTCTTTAGATAGAAGCAATTAGGAAATCACACTTACTGACCAGACAAAAACTTCAAAATTTTGTTACAGTGTTATTAGTGGTTAAAATCTTAACACCATTAGATATGCAGATGAGACAGTGTTGATAGCAGACACCAAAAGGAAACTGCAAAAACTCTCTCAGAAGATAGTAAAGAAAAGTTAGAAGAAAAGACTAAACATCAAAATAGATGGTTGTTAGCAAAAGAAGCAGCCCAACATGCAAGTTACAAATTGGAGATACCAACATGAAACAAGTGCAAATATTTAAATATCTAGGAAGTGATTTAACAGAGAATCAAAACTGTGACACTGAAATTGGAGGCACGTTAGGATAACAAGATTCCTTAAAAAAATGTAAGCAAAATATTACTCACAAGAATTTCATTAGAAACACAGAAAAGAGTGCCAAACTGTTAGCGAATATCTATCCTATATGACAGTCTTCTCACAACTAAAGAAGAAACTTCAAGCAACAGAAATGTGGTTCTACAGAAGGATACTGAGAAAGACATGGACTGAACATGTGATCAACAACAAAGTTATAGAGAAAATGGAAATGAAAAGGACAGTTATGCATAGCATCAGAAAGGGAGGGTTGAAATTTCTTAGGTGCATAATGAGGAAAGAGGGCTTCAAAAATTTGATACTCACAGGACATTGAAGACAAAAGGGACAAAAGAAAGCAGCACATAACCTACCCTAATGAGCCTGTGTAAGTGGATGGCAGAACAGGAATTAGGAATATTAAAAA